TCATACTGAACTTCTACAGTATTTGAACAGAGGTACTGTCCAAGAAATCTTCCCTACAGTCAGCTGCCATTTTGCCATCAGCTTTCCAGATCAGTAAAAATACATAATTTGGGGAAACGCACCCTAATGGACATACTGACATTTAGTGGAAGAGAAAGAAACAGAGGCAGAGAAGTTAGATACATCATAAATACATGGATAGATGAATCATTAGAAATCCCACTTGGGAGTGATTTAAATAAAATATTGGTTCCCCTGTCACAGCCATGCAACAAACAAGGGTACAAGAGAGCACCTTAAGAATTCAGAGTGTGGCTATGTCTAATGGCCTGTTAAAAACCATCAGATAGTCGACTTTAAATCCATCTCAGGGCATGGGCTCCTACTGCACCATTGTGGATGCAGTGTTAGGTCAAGCAATGGTAGGGGGTTGCAGTGTGGACACTACTTGTGGCTAGCTTAGCAGGGAAGCTATACTGGACCTGACTGCAAAACTGTCAGAGGCTTTGACTCCTTAATGGTACTTTATACTTAAAAACTGAAAGGGCAACAGCATGTTCATTGGCTAGGGATTCCCTTGAGAATCCTAGAGATAAAGGGACCTTTGGCAGTATTGTCTCATCTAAAATCCCTCTCAACCACTCAGTTAGACCCAAAAAAGTTATCACCCCCACATGTCTCTTTCACATATTTCCCAAACCATCACAAATATAATGTCACTCTCTCACTACCAAACACTGAGTCCTTCAGTTTCAATGGCTCTGAGAGTTGGTCTACACTAGAACCTGTGCTGTTATAACAATGCCAACCTAGTTCTTTTGACAGAGCCCTGTAATAGAGACTCAAAATATGCCTAGAGAACGAATGTCTTTGGTCTGTGTGGCCCCATCACATCCCTGAATGACACAAGCTAAACTGGAAAAGCATGCTGTCAATGTAGCTGGGTGTACACAAGGGGCTTGGCTGGCCTACCTATATTACTGACTAGACAGGATGATTTTCTTTTTCTTTTTCCTTTTTACTTCCTTAAAATGCAAGCATTTTTGACCCTCGTGGTTGTACAGAAAAGATGGAAAACCCCAAATCAGAAGGCAAATGAAAATGACTCACTGTTCATTATTTTTAGAATGTCATGATTTGATTTCTAAATATTTGGGACTGGCAACATTGCAATTCAATTCACTTGAGCAGACCTTTGGGTCAGCATTAAATCCCTTTGAAATCAATGAGGCTCTGTATGGATTCAAGCATCTGCCTACACTCACAGATCCAGGAACAGGAGTATGGCCTAAATTTGCAAAGATACAGAAAAGCTATTTACAGCACTAATTCCTAGGCAACAACAATTACATCTAATAAGATCTTTCCTGTTCATATTTAAAGCAATAAGAAGACTGTTTTGTGCATTATTCCTTAAATGTTTTAATCATTCTTCTAACAAATAAAAATGTTCTGTATATTATCAAGAGAAGACATTACTCTAAATTCATTATGGCATTTAGCAACAGCACATAAACAAAGAAAAAAGAATATCATTGTATAAATGCACAACACACATCTATTGTGACAGAAATGGCAAAATAATTTCAGTATTCAAAACTGAGGAGACAAAAATGGTAAGTAAAAGCTTAAGGAAAAAATCAGCCATTCGGGTCAGACATCAATACAGTAAATATATTCTTTTTGATTTATTAATGAGGATAAAAAATAGATTGTATATTAAACTGAGTTTCAGTGGCTCCTATAACTGTAGCTAACTATATATTAAAAAGATTGAAAATCAATACATAAATGATTAAAAGGACATTATTCAGTGTTCTCTCACAGCAGGTGACCAAGTCTACTTCCATCAAACATGTCACACCATTGTTACCTAATGAAATTCTTTTCTGAGATGTAGACAAATGTAAGTACAAATTAGTTTAATGTTACGAACCAATGAAAATAAAACCAGCTAATCAAGCTTACATGTATCTAATGTTCTGCTGCAAGCATCAGTCTTCTCATTAATTTAATACATATTTCAAACTTTACCATATAGAGACATGAAAGAATGTGTTATTGATAAGTTCCCCAATGCTGTAAACACAAGTGTCTTCACATCACCAAGTTAATACTGGTTTTTTTTCCTTTGGTCATTTTTTCCTATCTAAAAGAAAGAAGGAATTTAATTTTTTAACTTTTAACTTCACTGATGGACATTAAAACATAAGTAGTGGCTATATTTAAGATCATATGAGCATTTTTCTTTTGATCCTATTTCAGTTACTCATGCTTCATTATCTTTCCAACTAAAATTCTGCTAGAGGGATTCTTATAATTTACTTTTGAGTCAAAAGCAATTTCACCATTTTATATGAGAAAACAGTAAAAACACAGCGCCTCATTATTTAAATTTAGTCATTTGAAACTTTAAAAAAAGTCTAGTACACAAGTAGCTATAAATAGAAAGTAAATATTTGGGAAAGAAATGGTTCTCAGTGAGAAAAACTGTCTTGAAGTATTTTGTTCTGAAAGTTCCAAATTAACGAAATCCTGAAAATTACACAGTTTGCGTATAAAGTACTCTGGTGTAATTTTATAATATTTCTAAAGAAATACTGTGCGCTTAAGAATCTTTTAAAATAAAATATTGTAAAATAAGTAACTTAGTTATATATATTGCTCCTGTATTTTATAGAAAATGTAGGTGGATAAAGTATACATATGTAATTATATGGACAGATAAATAACAATAAAGTCTATCTATATACATATACATGTTTGTTTTCTATGTAGATATGTAAATTACTAGTCCTACCAAAATGGAGTATAGTAACAAGTAGTAAAGAAAAGTATTGCATTAGGATTTGGCTAAAGTGCCACAGATAATAGATTTCTTAGTTTACAAAGAATGTTGTATATCTTTTGTTACCAGGGTAAGAAAGTTAGTTTTACAGTTCTTCCAGAAGATGTTCCCTCTCTTAACTTAGCAAGTGACTGGGATCATCACTGCACAGTTTGTGAGAGCAGGCAAAATCTATAGCAGTGCTATAGTTTTGGGCACATTGTAAGAATTATTTATATTATATTTATATAAATCCAAATAAGCCATACACTTCAAAATTTGCAAAAGCATACAGCAAAGAAGGATTCATGTGAAATGTATGTTTCTATACTTATAGCACCATCTACTGGAAATTCAGAACTAATGCTATTACATGTCATTTCTCAAAGAAAAATGGACAGTATAGTGGTTCGGGGAAAATAAGCACTGCTAAGCAGTGATTCACAGGTCTAGAACGGTTTGCATGTGATATATTGGATCTGGCGTGGATATCAAATAAGAGAAGGGGAAGCTGCATAGAAAAGGTAATCCTGAAATTGTGCAGGCCCTTATTTAATAAATGAAATAAGATTCTGCAGTTTTTATATCAATAAATAAAAAATAAGGTTTTGCATAACCACAAGAAAAATTCCATATACATTGGTACATTGGTAAAAATTAGCTTACTTAAAAAATTAAGGCAGAGAAGTGGGTTATGAATTCAAAAAGCATTAAAGTAAAAGAAATAAACCTTAAAGACTTATGGATCAAATGTGATTTAGGGAAAGGAAATCCTTTTATTTCAAATCTTCCAGTTTAGACTACTAGTTCAGCATAAGCCTGAAGATGGCAAAATATCTGTAAAAATTATATAAAATATCTGTTATACTCTGAGAAACTGAGTATATGCTAGTCAATAAGCCTATTGTCTCCCTTCCTTTTTGCCATTATTTTGGTCCATCTCCTGCTGATGTTACTCAGGCAGAATGCAGTGAAATCAAACTGTCTGTTGCCAAACAAAAGACAGCCTTTTTTCTTAAGGGATTATTTTGGGAGCTATGTTTCAGCACTAGGAAACATGGAATATTGTCTTAAATTGGTATCTATGTTGTTTTAATAATCACTGGGTATGTCTATATGTGTGCCCAACTGCACAGTTGTTATTACATGTATGCCGTTTCTGCGCAGTCCCAGCGGTGCACAGGTCATTTCCAACCCTGCTGTGCAGTAACAGATGTAGCATCTCATGTAGATGTGCCCAGTGTAAACTAACTTGATTTTGTAAAGACTATAAATTTAAATAAATGTGGGCAGTTTGGATGCATGGCTGACTGACCTGAAACACCTACATCTATATATAGACACCCAAATCAAAGTAACTACTTCTCAGAACTGTTGGAAATTCATAGGTTCAATCAGTGAGTATTGGGGACAGCTTAATATCTTTGCAAATCAGACCAGTATTAAATTTATAAATAAGGATTCAGATTAGTATTGAGTGCATAAATAAGGATTTAGACACCCAAATTTGAAAATTAAGGCTTTGGGGATTTTTTTTTAAATTCATGCAACAATTAAAATTACAGGAAAATAATTTATTCTGAGTTATAAGCTTTTTCTTTAAAACTTCAGACATTAAAGCTACTATCTGGTAAAATTCTGCTTCTGTGTCCTGAAATGCTCCTAAATAATACACCACAGGCTCCCACTGTGTTAAATAGCAACACAAAACAGAAACAATCCCTAGTGCCACAGGCAGACAAAGTTCTTTGAGTAACTCTGATATCTTTTATTAGATCAACTAGTATTTTATTAAGGTATGTTTCTAGACGGAAATTCAGGCCTTTAGAGAGAACAGATATTTCAGCTTTGGTAAGTGTGTGCATGGAGAGTTTGATAATACTTGAGGGTTGATTGGTTCTTTCAGTTTCATCACATATGAAGTTGGAATGTTGTAAGGTGTTGGTGTTGTTTCTCTGATGGTTGTTTTGTAGTTGGGAAAGTTGTTCCTGGAGTAACTGGTTCCATTGCCTCTTTTTATGTCAGATGGATGTTGTAAAAGACCTTTGGTAGTGTCTTTGTATACATTGTATAATTTGGGGAAAATATCTGGATTTTTCTCTTTTAAGATGTTGCAGCATGTATTGATTTCCTTCTTGAGTTCATCTCTTTTGGAGCAGGTTAGGCGAAGAAGATGATTCCTAAGTGTTTCTGAAGTTCTCCTGCATAGTTGTGAAGTATATTTGGAGTTGTGTGTAGTAGTCAGAAGATTGTAGATGTTCAGTCCTCTGGGAATGATGTTGTGTCTCTTGCATAGACTTCGAAAATATATGTTGCTGTTGAGTTTGGCTTTTTCTTTTTCATGTTGTGGAGTTTCCATTTCAAACAGCAAAATTCAATATCTTCCATGTTTCAGGTATGTTGGCTGTAAACGTGTTGGGCTAAGGACATAGGCTGACAAGGTTCTTTGGGTAAATCTGATATATTAGTTGGTCTAATAAAAGATATCAGATTTACCCAAAGAAGTTTGCCTGCCTATGTCCTTAAACCAGCATGGCTACAACAAACACTCCTGATGCCTAGTGCTAGTTACTTGGGCTATGGCTTCACCAAGAAACAAAATGACTCTTTGATATTTATTGCAAAGAATGGTACCCTGATTCACCTATACCATGGATAGGCAATTATTTCAGGTGGAGGACCACTTAATGAGGTTTGGTGAGCTTTCAAGGGGCTTCATTAGGTCAGTAGTCCCACCCCTTGAGAGTAGTCCCAACCCCTGGATGTTATCTAGGGACCAGAAGCCCCACCCCTAACCCCTGACCTTTCCTACCAGAAGTCCCTCCCCTTGCCCCCCAGAAATACTCCTTATGGGATGGGGGTTGCCATCTTAAAACCAGAAAAAACAAACCATACAATAAAAGTCAAACACCTACTATAACATATTTTAATTTGATTACCAAAAATATTTTTTCATGATTTGTGTTTGTGTACTATACATAGAGGTGAGAGGTAACTCAAAAATAAATTGTTAGTCTTGTATATTGTGTGGGGGTGTGTGGTTAGGGTATGCGTGTGTATGGCAGGGCATGGGAAGGCATGCATGTATGGTGGGGCATGGGGGTGGTGTGTGTGTGTGTGTGTGTGTGTGTGTGTGTG